AGTTTCATATATGAGTATGAATATCGATTTTAATTCATTTTTTAGCCATTTCTTTGGCGCACATTCAAAATTTTAGTTCCTGATGTTTATATTATCTGGTCAATGAAAGCTTCTCCATTCTTTTGATGATTTGATGCTTCAAATGCGTCATTCAAGAAGTCAAATAGTAGCGCTCGGTCAGATTAGACCGCCAAATTTGAAAATGAAATGATCCCTGGGCGATAGAAGAAGAGATTCCCGGTTTCTAGCACAGATTCTCTGATTTTCCCTGTAAATTTGCATTCCCTGATGAATCCCGGGTTTTCCCGTTCTAGACACCATGCTCTACAAGCATGCTCCAAAGGCGGAATACTTGAAAAGCCGATGCATCGCTTACGTCGTTTTGGCTGGCTTATTAGTCGACTTTGAATCTATTTTGAAAGAGCGCGCTTGGTTTAGTCTGTGAAAGGAGATGACGTCTGCAAAGCTCGACAGGTCGATGATCCGTTGTTATTGTTTCTCTTTAGCGCGACGAGTCTCATGGTCCTCCTCGCTTTTCATGAAAACTGCAGACCCGACTGCAACCCGAATGTGCAGCATCTTCCGTTCTCCGCCATCAGCGGCGTCTTTCGTCTATTTTGAAATATCGGGGGCATTGCACGACTGAAATTGTCATCAACGGCGGCTGTCCACGGAATAAGTGGACGTATTTCTGCCAAACGGAACTAGAGACAAGTGGGAAAGAAGGGGTACGCTCCTTAGTCAAGGGCCGTAAGAATGGATGGGAATTATAAAGCGCCAGCAGGGTGTCTGGTATTTTTTAATTTTGAAAAATTCTGACGTTTTCCTGATTTTTCCTGATATTTTATAAAAAAATTCCTGATTTTTTTCATTTTGAAATTTCCTGACATTTCCCTGTCACATTTTGGTGAAATTTCCTGACAATTGAAGGTTTGACGGATGGTTAAGAAGACATAATTGAAAATAGTTTGCAGTCAAAATTTCTTGTTCAAAATCTCAAACCCATTCTAGAAATCAAATGAAGGTGATTTAAGAGATTTTCCATGACTTTTTAAAATTCCCTGACATTTCCCGGTTTTCCCTGACTTTTTAAAATTCCCTGACATTTCCCGGTTTTCCCTGACTGTGGCAACCCTGCACCTTGGCTTCGATCGTTTGATCCCCAGCTTGTGACTGAAAATGACTCTCTAATTTTCCAGGTAAGGTTTTTGGCTTTTTCACAATGCAAGTGCTCAACATTGACGAAGCAATTGCCGATGGCGTGAGTGAGTGTATGTTGGTAAGTGAATGGAACACATGTTGGGCTATTTATAGAGCTCCGTGATTCATAGATAACGGGAAGGCGAAGCGCGAAGGAGTGTGCCGGCCCGAAAATACCCACCCGGTGCCGGTGGCCATCAACTATTAAGCCACCCGCTCGGATTTTGATTTCCAATCTCACCTAACGCAATTCCCCACTTTCTTTCCGAGTACGAAATACGCTCGCGCAATTCCCCATGTTTTCGTCAAATTAGGGTCGTATTCAGAGTTGGACTGCATTTTGCAATTTGGAACTATAAATTCTGGCCCGGTGTAAAAACAACGTACCTATGTGCCATTAATTTCCCTATGCACAAAAGTGTTTTTTCAAATGAGCCAGAATTTATAGGTCCAAATTGCAAAATGATATCCAGTTGTTCCTTCAACAGCTCCAGCTCCTTTCCGCAGCTTCCTATGTGTGAGCCTGTGTCACACTATCAAAATACTCCGATAAAAATGTCCAGATCAAGAGCTGTGATTGGTCCAAATTTGAGGGTTTCCTCAGACCTCCGTTGAGTAATGGCAATGTGAAGCACATAGGGAGAGCCTCATCGAGGCTCGAACCTAACCTAACTCGAGGAATGTAAATTTTTTAGGAACCAGTGGCGTGGCGTGAACTACTACATATAAATTGTTATGCCATTTAAACCTATGGAAAAGGATCGATAAATAGGGTGCTCGCAGCGAACACCTTAATAATCGAATCTTTACCATAGGTTTAAATGGCATAAAAATCGATACATCGCAATTCACGCCACGCCACTGTTAGGAACGACCATGAATACGACCCTAAAGAGCATTCCTCGTTTTCCTCTTTTTTTCGCGTATCCTTCGAACGTGGGGAAGTTACAGCTGCTGTAAGAAGCTATGATATTAAGTAGTTGCGTAATATTCTATTCAAAAGCGCGGGAAAAGTGCTTGATTTTCGAGGAGAGTTGGATTACTTTTTGCAATAAGGAACCACTGTCTGAGACTCATCGATATAATCGCCTTTCCGCATGGGGAAACCAATGGCATGTACGTTGTTTCTAAAATGAGCAAGAAATAGTGGTTCCTCATTGCAAAATGTGGTCCAGTTGTTCGAAAACCTGCGAAAATAGCTCGACAGAACTTGGACACTTCACATTCAATGCACTAAAATGCTAAAAACTTGGTAAACTCGACTGAAATTCGCGGAGCTGCCGACTCTGAAGCACGTGGTTTTGAGCGATCTGGGACGCGCAAATACAATAATTCATTTCAGGACGCACTTGTACCCACGTTTGTTTGGTTACCCCAGTTCAAGGCGCGCATTAAGCAGGATGTTGTGTGCAAATATCACGGCAAATTACGCGGTGACAGTTATTTTACATGACGAATGACGATAAGAATCTGAAGATGATAAAAGCGGCGCGAATTAAAATTGGAGGGCTCGTAATTCAATGCTATATAAAAATAAGCCTCAGAGGAATTTTCTCTGAGAAACCTCTCTTGCTTACATCTTTGTACAGGCTTCCAGGGAAAAGCTTGCAAAGAGCAATTTTATGGTGACTAGGCTAATTGTTCCAATTACAATTTTTATCTTGCAGAAGATAAAAAGTGGTTACTTTTATCACCTGGTGACTGAAGGTAAACAAAGCTAAAAAAAAGTGACTGATAACCTCAGTCTTGTACCTTCTAGTAAATATTTGCTGACACATATTGTGCATTGGATGCAAAGATGTATCGAAAGCCGGCATTTTTTCTTCTTTTTCTAACTATTTATGAACAGACCCTGGAGCTTCGTACTGCGCCCATTCTCCTAATATTTTATTTGACATCCAGTCCTAAATGAGGCTTGCTTGAAACCATTAATCTTGTGTTGCCTGGCTGAGAATACCCAAGATCTCCTGATCATAGGACCAGCTTTGCGATTACTTTATCACAGGAGGCCAATTATACCATACACCATTCTAACACTTCTCAACTTCAATTGATATGCCCATCATTAATACCACCTGATTTTTCATTTAACTGCTCTCAAATTTATGCCTCCTTGGTCACATAAAGAGCCTGTGCTCATATTCTGACGGGTAGGTGCTAACTCCTTCCAAGAAATGATTAAGTAAAACCTGGGGACAATATGATCGGACTATCGCACACTACTCCAACCAGTCAGTTTTGGGAGTCACCTTCACCTAAAGCATGGGGTTTCAGAGAAGGGTGCTAAATCTGCCATTTTGGGGCCAGTGACATTTTGAGCAAATAATTTCAACAAAGAAGGGCAAAAAAAAAAAAGTTACACTCTCTTGAAAAGAAGAAAGCGATAGGAGAAATTTTTTTACGTAACGATCAAGGTGCTACTTACTCTGGGTAGTTTTACACCCACATACATTCATGGAACAGAATGAGATGTAAATCCTGACATTTATTTTCTGTCTCGCCCGATGAAAATATTTACTTAAGTATATTAGGCGAAGAAGAAAGTAAGTAAGTGTCAGAATGCAAGTGCAACCTGATCAAGAAAATAGAAACATAACGGAGAGATGAAAATTTATTAAACTACCTTACATTATTGCTAGTTAAATTAAATTACCGATTAAGTAGTCAACTATCACACCGTCACTATTGGGCAAAAACTGATGGTCCTTTCAAAGTGATTACTACACTGCAAAATTTTTCTTACAAAATTTCTGAAATATTCCACACGGCTGCTTTGATCATGTTCGTGTCTCAGAATTTAAATAATGAACATTCAGATGTCATTTTGCTAGACACTTTTTTTGAGCTATCGAGTTCAAGATGTACATTCCGATCTTACTTACTTCAACTTGTCAACAAGACTCACTTAAAAATCAGCTAAAATAAGGGTTGGTTCTGAAAAGGAGCTCTTCAAATTGAAAACCCTTGAAGGGAGGTAAGCATAAGTTTTTTATCTCTCCTTGAGTTACTCAAATTAGTTCTTATTTAAAAAATTAGTCTGACATCACTGCTAATCATTAAGAGAAGCGGGCTGACACTAAAAAAAAAAGGTATTGGAGGATGGGCAGATGTTGAGACTACAAGTGCACCCTTTCTTTCAGTTATGCACTCTCAGGTAAAAAATACTCCCTTTGGGCTCCCCAAATGCAAAGACTTACGCACATTGCGTTCTATTCGTTCTTTAAAAATGCTCACTTCATAGTACCTACATCTAAGTGTGTCTGCAGATACAGTGGATACAAGAGTTTAGTGCCTTACAACAAGTAAATTGTCAAGACAATTTTCCTCACATACTTAGGAGCACATAGGTACCGTCAGATTTCAGAAAATATTTTAGGAATTATAGACAAGTATTTAACCATTCCTTGCGAGGATACGGAGCACTTCCAGGAACATAATTGGCAGTGCAAGGTTCCTAGTACGCGAGTGAGCACATCACTTTACAAAGAGAAAAATTAAAGTTCCGACACCTGTGTGTCATAGCAAATCAGAAAATACGAAAGACAGAGATAATTGAAATCTTGAAGGAGTCGATAGGTAAATGAACAGCTTGCTGTCAAAACTGCTGGTACAAACTGAGAGCTGTTATCAAAATCATTATTAGGGGAAACAGAGATGGTAGAAAATAAGATGCACATTGAAAAAGTACTGAAAATGCTACTTTGTGCATCATAAAAAATTCGAAGCAGATGTGGAAAGAGTGAAAAATATTCGAAACAAAAGTACAAAAACCGGGAGTAAGATCTGAATTGTTAACTTACATTATCCCTGCACGAAGTCGGTTGTCGGTTACGCTGTTATCACTTATCACGAACAGAACCTTCCTCAATTTCGGCGGTGATGTTCAGAGGGTAGGAGGAACGATCTGTGCACTTACAACGATGCATTATGGACTAAAAAAAAGTATCACATTAAAATATGACGAGTGATTTGAACGTGATGCAAAAAGGGATCCGGCTTTTGCAAAGGCACGGCAAAGGTTGAAAGAAGTGATGGATTTGATGTGAATATGTGATTGGCGGGTGGACGTGAAGCGGATCTTACGCCGAGATTGATAACGGACCGTCGCGGAGCACCGAGCGCTTGATAACGACTTAAAAATCTATGAAAAAAACTATAAAATTGCACTCCAACGCCCCGAAATCTCACTGCATGGTTTACGCCTCCATTACAGGTTATGAACTGGTGGATTCGGGGAATGGTGCGCATTCTGGGTAACCCTACCCGGCACATCGTTGGAGTCCAGTGGCGGGAGAGGGGAAACACAGGGAGAAGTATTTTGAAATCAATCGGGTTGTGCGTGATCCGAATACGCGGGTTTACTATCACTAGTATGGGTTCATTGCCATATTTTCTCATTATTACCTATGGTAAAATTGTCCTGAGTTTGATGTCCAAGCGCAATGTTCCGGAATTTTCGATTGATAGTCCGTAGTCCGTCCACTGTCCCTTCGTCCCTTACCGGAACCAAGCCTCGGATAGGTACACTATTGCTTTACATCGAAGCAGCGATCATCACTCCTTTCAACCTTTGCCGTGCTTTAATTTGCAAGAGCCACATCCCTTTTTGCATACCGTTCAAATAATTCGTATATTTTAATGCGATAAGTTTTGTGGTGTGTGTACATCGGTGTATGTAAGTGTAGGTGGGTGATTTCACGATAAAAGGAATAATAGTCGTATGGAGCGATATAAATGCCTGTTCCTCAAGTAGATAACTATTCGCGCTCCGACGTATGGTTCGTTACCTACCCGGCAAAATTGAAGGCGAACTGAAGGTTGGTGATGCTTACTTATCATTAGTACCTACAACATCATTTGGACTGCATTTTAAAATTTGGAACTATAAATTCCAGCCCGGTTTGACAACAACGTGTGTAACATTAGTTTCCCTATGCACATAAATGTTTTCCCAGATGAGCCAGAATTTGTAGTTCCAAATTGCAAAATGCAGTCCATTTGTCAGCTTATGGAGCGAATGAATGTATGTTTTTCGAATTTTGAGTTCCGCGGCATATCTTTTGCCTATGCAGAAATATTGAAGGCGAATCTCAAATGGACGATATCGTTGATAGGTCACATTTAAATCGTCAATTCAAAATATACTTGCTCTCGGAGAGAAAAACTAGAATCATCATAGGTCAAATCGGCCGTGAATTTCGAAAACATTCTTACACATTTGGCAAATGTGCAGAATCTAGGATAAGGTTTTGATTTGATAGAATGTCCCATCTGTCTTTGAAACGATAATGATACTCGAAAAATTCAGCATACATTGGAAATTCTTTCATCTTGAAGCTTCCATACACCATTCCATTGCTAGAATAGAAATTACCAATTAAATTATATTTTTTCCTATTACTTATCACTATATCGAATTTGTAAATTTTGCAGGATCAATTTTATTTGAATGTTGTTATTTTATTATTCGAGACTTCAATTTTTTTTTTTTTTTTTTTTTTTTTTATATATATATATATATAGTTACATTTTGTTTATGGGGTGTGTTACAATGGTTTCCATAGGACTGCCGTGCTAAGGAAAAACGGCGCATGAACCTCCAGGCGTTGCCAAAATTCCTTTCATAAAACGCGAGTTTTCTGGTAAACTTATGAATATATTTTCTTCCCAATTTTTCAGATAATTCTGTTCACAATTTCACCTAGAGATTCTTACAATTTAAAGGGAAAATATTCACAACTTTCCTCAAAAATAAACATTTTATCGGATGAAATTTGGCAACTCTCGAATGTTCATACGGCGCTCTTCCTCAGCACGGCAGAGTAAGAATAATCGCAGTTCATTGCATTGACGGTAAAGTGCTTCGAATCACGTACGCATAATGTCATTTCTCTCGCGCATGGCTCACGTCAAAATTCGCTTTTCAATCCGTGAAACTGCGCAGATCATATTGGAAGAAGTGACGATCAGTATTGAGTCATAAAGTATGATATTCATTGAGATGATGTGCCCAGCATCCGGAAGCTGTGGGAGCAAACTCGTCCGAACTGGTGCTTTGGGTCGTCGATTTCGAATGGACCCTTCAAAAAGTCGGATAGGCTAGACCGTGCAGCACTGAAGATTAAAAGTTGCATCAAATAGAATGGCAGATTATTTTCCGAGTAGAATAGGAGGCCTGTCACCTCCTAGGATCGAAGATCTACTATTTCACTCTCATAATTGGACCGTGTTCAGCAGAAAGGAACCAATAGCCACACCACTTATTGCCGAATGTAACTGGGAAATTTAATTTTATACATGAAAACGGTTGTGCGGATTTTTATGCCAATTTCAGTGAATTTTCTGCATAGTGCGAGGTAAATTTCTTTAAATGTTCGAAGGAATCCGCGAAAACGTTCTCTTGTAAAAAATTAAATTGCCCAGTTAAATGGCAATAGCTGATTTGGCTTGGTTCCTTTCTACTAAACACGGTCCAGTTGATCAGTTAACTTGACGTGGCCACGTGGGTTGTATCTTACCGCAAGTGTATGATATTCACATCGACGACTGAAATCGATAAATGCGTACCATGCTTCTCTTGCTGTCATAGAAAAATACCAAGAGTCTCTAGGAAATTTTCTGTGAATATTTTTGAATGAATGAAGGATATATTCAAAGAAATTTTCAAGAAAAAGGGGTCTGCTAGTTTTCTTTGCGAAAACTGAAAATATGACCGGCGATTTGCAACGTCGTAGTTGCAGAGACGCGTCATTGACAAAACATTTTAGATAAAGATAAAAGAAAGGATTTCAATTAGACAGGAGTCGACACTTAGTCAAAATGAATGGCACTGTACGCTTTATATCTTTAAATTGAATTAAATTTGAATTTCAATGACTTTTCGACAGAGTAACACTTTCCTTGGGCGTGTCTGTAAGTGAGCAAAAAGTCCGTCTTTTAGAAGCGATTGAGGGTGGAGGCGACAATACTGCCATGCTAAGGGAAAACGCCGTATGAGCCTTCAGGCGTTGCCGAATCTCCTCAGAAAAATCACTAATTTTCAGGAAAATTTGTGAATATTTTTCTTCCAATTTCTCGGATAATTTTGTTTGTAATGTGATCTAAAGTGTCTGAAAATTTCGAGGAAAAATATTCATAACTTTTCTCAAAAATATACATTTTATGGGATGAAATTTGGCCATCCTCGATGTTCATACGGCGTTCTTCATTAGCACGGCAGAATAAGTAGGTATGTGCGAACACTTTCTGATCTGAAAGTTGCACGCGGTATAAAACGCCTTCAATATTCCGAGGATACAACTAAACCTACTTCTTGCGTTCAGTGAGTGTAGTATCGGAGAGAGTTTGAAGGATATTTTTGTTCCTGGATCAAATGGCCGCAAGCTATTGTATTTTCAGGTCTTTGTGTGCTTCACTAGGCTCTTAGACGTATTCAGTTTAATTTCCTCATGAAACCATCAAACTGTCAAACCGTCTACCGAGCATAATATTATACATAACGCTCTCTGACTTACAACCACTTGACCGTCAAAAAAACAAAAATATCCATCGCACTTATAGTCAATCGATAGGACGCGACGCAACTGGTACACGCTCTGAATACAAGAATGCAATACGTAGACTTATTACTGACATCGATATCACATTGCCCAAACCAGAAAATACTACAAACATTATAAGTATAAATCCACCGGTTATCTTAACTTGCTGATTATTGTGAAGGGAAAACGAAGGAATAAAGGAAGGTATAATCTCTGGAACATCAACATGACCCTCAGTCCTTGGTCAGGTCATAGGTCAGTCGAGAGAGGGGGCGGGGGGAGGAAACTCAGTATATAACACCACATAACTACCCGCACTGCCTGCCGCGTAATTTGGTTCAAACTTTGGGTTTTGTGACGAGCAGGCGATTAGAATTTACAAACACGGAATACTTATAACTTATGAGATAGCCCGTGGACCGTAGCCACTGCATGCTATGTAAAATTCGAAAAAATGAATAAGTGAAAGAAAAGAAAAAACATGTAATATAACAACCCAAGCGCCAAGCCAGGCAACTGTTGAGGGTTATGTTACGCCGTGCACCCACCGTTGCATCCACCGAAAATGAAGGCGATTTGAAAAGCGTTGAATATTGCAAATGTCGAAGTAAACCAGAGAACTGAAAAATGATGGATCTAACATGAATTTCGTAACTGTGTAACGATTTGTTAAACGACTGAGTGATTGCATGAACGATGACTTTATAATCACATAAGAGTATTATAACGATGATGACGCTTTTATACTTATCACAGTCTTAGTGTTCAGATAATGTTGAATATTTGAGGACTGCTGGATTACAAGAAATTAGACATTATTCTGATGAGCACCTAATTCTTTAACTCCTTAGCATAGATTTTACTAATAATAGTCAACAACACTAGGTACATGGCTAACAAATATATATTTACTGAAATATATTTGGTAGGTTTCACGGCAAAAGGAGAGTTAATTTTCAGTTCGTGCAGGTTATTGGCAATCAATCTTCGGTGTTTTATGAAACGAGGCAATTTCATTCAGTGTTGGCTGATGTCTTAAGAATGTTGACAAAACATTTCCTGAAAAGGTGCTGACTGCTCAACATAGGACACATGTTCAGATGTTGGCAACAATTGAGAGATAGATCTCAGCTTGGTGAACATTTTTGGTAAACTCATAATTTTCTTATCGAACCAGATCGATGGCACATTGCGCATTTAAGTTTAAGTGAATGTACAGCTGTAGATCACTTGAGCATAGTCTGTGCTCTCTCATCCCGGGTTGCACCGAGAGATCGAGGGATATTTTCCTCTAGGAAACGTTGAGAGCAAAATAATCGCGGTTTTTCTTTCTTCAGTGTGATGACATGGGCGGAAATCTGCCCCTAGTGCCCCCCAAAAATTTCAAGTTGCGCTCATTTTACTTGCTCTAAGCGTTCACAACCGCTAATAAAACTACTCGTGCCTAAAAAAAACTATGTGTATAAATTCCCTGGTAAAAATTGGCAGTAGAGTGTGTGTTCCAAAATACTATAGACCTAAAGCCGGCTGTAAGATTTCCAATAGCTTCTGAAGCCGGCTGTACAATTTCTTATAGCATTTTATAGCCGATGGCGATTAAGCAACACCCAGACGATAAAGTTTATGCTAAACGTTACTAAATATGGATAGGACTCAGTTAGTTTTTGGACTACCGCTCTCTTTTTGTGCCGTAGTATGTATGAATGTATGTATGTATGTATTTACGGCGCCGCGCGCGTTTGTGCCGTATAGTATCTTGATTTATTTTGCGAGGAAAGCTCCGTGCTTCTGAAGGATGCCTGTCATTCTTAATATGTTGGAGCGCCTTCAATTTCCTATGATACTGTGCAATACCTCTGGTGTGAAATAGTTGCTTCAGACGCCGTGGCACGCTGCGGCGCGGCGGGCGGGCAGAGAGCGCGAAACGCGCATTGGCGCCTACAAACCTAACAGGGATACTTCACGCATTGCGCAATGCGTGAGGTATCCCTGTTAGGTTTGTAGGCGCCAGTGCGTCGCCGCTCCGCTTTGTGTTAGGCTCTAATATTTAATCTCGCGGTGTCAGCGTTTTTCAACTCATGATTTTGAAATGTTTGCACACTCTCTATGGATTATTCTCATTTTAATTGATGACAAAAAAAACATGTTTTAAAGGAAAATATAACGTGTGTTTTGTAAATATTAAGGTAGTTCTGTATCAAACTTAATGATTTCCAAAGCACACGAATTTCTACACAATTTCTTATAGCCTTTTATAGCCAATGGTGATAAAGTGTAAAGCCCGGCCATAGGAACTATAGCCCGACTGTATACTTTTTTATAGCTTCGTATAGCCCGGCTATATGATTTGCTCCGCTTTCTACAGCCAGCTATATGATTTTCAATAGCCTTCTGTAGTCGGCTAAAAGAACTCCTATGGTATTTTGAAACGCAGCTCCTATCGCCAATTTTTACCAGGGTTCATTGAATTAAAATCAACGGTGTGCGTAGGGTTTTTGTGCTTCGTAATTCCCAATGATTAAATTTACGTTTACAGCTCGCCTTTTTGCATTAAGTTCAGCTAATTGTCGAATTTATTCATTTTCAGATTTTATTAATGACTCAGCTGCTTCAGCTCGCTTTGCTCGCCTCCGCGCCTAGCCAAGGGGTCCGCCCCCTGGACCCCCGATAATCCCTCGCTTGTGATCGAGTGATTATAGCTCGCTCCGCGATCTTACCTGTCGCATTTTTAGCAATTGCAATCGTTTCAAAAACAACGCGCAAAAACAAATAACTGTAAAAAATGAAACATTTTCACAAGGCCTTTCAAAGTTTTGAACATACTTATCGAGTTTTTTAAAAATTTTCACTTACGAAAAACTTAAAAACAATCAAATGTCGATTGTAGCATACAACTTATCCATGGTGTAACTACCAAACCACAGATCTCGATTACAATGTTTGAAAATTTTCTATCATACTTTAATTTTTTGAAAAGTGCCCCTCGGCATTTTTGCAAAAATCTCCAGAGAATTTCGTTGAGACGACAATGAAAAATCAAATGGTATTTTGTGCAAAAATACCGATTAGGCCGTCCCCTGTGAGTGAAAAACGTGACAAAAGATTTCGAATGTCGCAACCGTATTTTGTGCTTTCGCCGTCTCTTTATCAGGCACAGATTTTATTAGAGTTAAGTTTTAGTCAAAAGTTTTGTTTTCTTAAAACACGATTACTCTACACAACATAGCATAGCATATCGATCATAATTGCGTGAAAGTTATGATATCAGACAGAAAACAATTTGCGATACAGATTATACTATAAGGACACTACACTTTGAGTGCGTGCGGTTTCTTAAAAAATTCCCTTTCTCAATCCGCAATTTGGTACTGGAAAGCTCTCAAAAGCAGTCATCGTTTGAACAACATGTCTAAGGATAAAGCCAAGAGAGCTCTTAAAAAAAAACCTCGCTCCGATATCTGATAGCCCTCATTGAATCATCACTTGAAAGTTTCAAAAGTTCAACACCAAACAATACTTTCAGAGAGGAAGGAAAGCTGCGGGGAAACAGTGGTGCCAACTGTAGGGGATATTCCAGATTTTCGTGTGCACGTGTCGTGCTCTGCCCTGGCTTGCCGGCCGGTGCGGTGCTGCGTTGCTAACTTGACAGCGGAAGTCAACGCTAATTTTAAAACGAAACCGAGAGTTGAGCACAATCCTCTCTTTTATCTGCTCTCGCCTGGGATGCACCTCACATAGTTCGCCCTCCGGATAGCACGATGAAAAGAACATTCCTCTTTCCACGCTGTGAGCTCTGGACCACTTTGAACTGAGGCTCTTAAGGTTCGTCCATAGACACCCAAAATTTTAGGACGTTCCCCGAGACTTCAACACTGGAGAAAAAACCACATTGGATCTAGAGTCCAGACTCTTACAAACATCGACAAGAAAAATACTCTTGATTCAATCGGATTTTTCCTTAAATCGAAGAGCCAAGCCTCTTAATTGAAGCGGATTTCCTTTCGATTCAAGGAAAAATCCGATTGAATCAAGAGTATTTTTTCTTGTCAATGTTTTCAAGAGTCTGGACTCCAGATCCAATGTGTTTTTTTTCCCAGTGAATTATTTTGACCTTTTTCTAGTTTTTACTTTAGCCAGGGTACCTAAATCCCCCGTCACGAATTCAGGCGAATCAATCAAAAGTTATTTCGAAAAATTTCAGCTTTTTCCCCGTTTTTTTCTCCCTACATAACTGGGGAAAAAGTTCTTGAGATATTATTTTGACTTAAAGCGCCGTTTCTTGTCGACAGCATTTGGCTTTTTGGGTTGAAGAATCGCTGTCTTGGTGTCGTTTTTTCAGACTGAATTTATAATGGCAAAACGGCCCATTTTTAACTCAAAAAAATTGACTTTAAGTTCAAGAAAACCGAATGTTATCGACACGAAACGACGCTATGGGTCAAAATAATATCTCAAGTGATTTTTTTTCTCAGCGTAGATTTTCCACTCCATACTCTGTGGCCCGTTTTATTCATTACTACAAGTTCTCTAATCACATGCATTTTCAGTTTTTGTCACAGTTCGATCTAGCGCTCTACAGGGCCAATTTCCATGATGTTTATCGGGTATCGACAGGCAATAGCCCCTGGATGAGCTGGATCTATTCATACAAATATTTTGGAGACTTAATTCACAGGGACCCGTGGAGCGAAACACTTTCTCGAGGCTGGGCCGCGTGGTTGCCACCAATACCTACCTAGTTGCGAACAGTGCAGTACCCAGTGCTGAAGACATGACTGATGTTATACTTTCAGATGACAAGTCCTTCATTTGTTAGCCTGCGTCATAATCTACCGTTCAGATATATAATCTTGCATGTGATCTGGCAGCAGAGACATGCACGTAACAGGGATGTGGAGACCTTACCGTCCGGAAAATCCTTGGTGCTCCTCCTCCCACGGGAGTTTTCGAGTCTCGGCGAGGGCTTTTGGAACACCGAAAATAGCACTCGCCAACCTTCTCTCCGCTTCGTTCGGCTTATTATTTTTCCTTTTTTTCTGCGTGAAGAGAGCCTTTCCCCCTTTTCCTCGCCTTTTCAGACATTGCGCATGATTGCTATATTGATGTCGTTCCTGCAATGTGCCACTTTTTACGAAGATGACCCAAGTCCAGCATTGAAAAATGCGAATCTACATAAAGTATAACGTTTACAAATCTTCCGCTGTGTTTTATTTCTTTAAAGACCTAACCATCAACACAGTGGCGAGGCATGAATGATCTATTATCGATATCTTCCCATTTGAAGCTGTGGTAAAAGAATCGATTATTAAAGCGTTGGTTGCGTACACCCTGTTTGTCGATCCTTTTTCATAGGTTTACATGGCAGATCAATCGATTTATCTTCGTAAAGTACGCCACGCCTCTGCAGAAGAGAAACGCGCCAAGTCGTTACAGGAACTACCTTTTGGCAGAGTAGGCCGGTATGCCTAGGTCGGAATAAACAGAGCAACCATTTTAACTCCCATGTCATCGCGTCACATACCCGAAAGATTGAAGGCGAACAATACGAAAACTTACCTGGAGCATCATTCCGTGCCTAGCTCATACTTATACTCCATTCATGAGGTGTGGATTAGGTCCAACAACGACCATCAGTCTCCGCTGGAGACTTGTTTCCAATAAAACTGAGATGTGCTCCCGCTGACTTATTTTTACAACTTTATGTTCAGACACCATGTTGATATCATGTTGGTGTCAGCACTATACCATTGTTAATTCATCGACTTAACAGTTTTCAGCAGAGTTTTTACTTTTCATACTCCTCTTTCATCGCTGCTCCGGGTCATCCTTTGAACGCTGTCTTTTTGTGTAAGATGATCTAATATAAAACGTGCCTATTAATTTAACAAATGTTACATTAAATGATTTCTGCGACGCTTCAACGTTGTGTGAAAAAAGCCATGTGTCGCAAACCACCTCAGAGTGATTCTTAATTTAAAAGCTGCATACTTGTTCCGTTTTCATAAATTACAACGTGGAGACACGGAAATAAACACAACTAATTTTTGTAGTAAAATTGGAGCGACTTAAGTGATTACAAAAAAATATTGAAAATACGTCGTACGATGTGTCTTTTTGTCTCATGTCGTGTCATTTGAACGCTTTAACTCAAAATGCGTCATTTTCTAAACAATGGAATGATCCGTAGTCTTCTCGCGCAGTCTTTGGTCGTGATTTCCTTACCTGAGCGTCTAGTGTATCACGTGAAAGTAAAAGGCATTTTCTCACCAAGGCAGGTGATCAAATTGCATAATAAGAAGTAACGGTGTAAACGCAAGTTTGCACATTTTTTGATTGTTTGACAGTTTTAGGACGCCTATCAGCTCGACAAAATATCAGGCTGGAGGGTGTACTTTCATTTATATAATATCTGCGTACTATCGGCCACCAAGAATTATTTCAAGAGAAACCAAAGCAAGCCGACGTGGACCCATGCTGCCAAATTTATGATAAAATTCACACTTTAAATCCTGAGCCGAGTGAAAGATATGCAGACGTTTGACGCACATGATAACCATGCCGCAGACCATTGACCGCCAGACTTTGCTGATTCGGTAAAAAGTTACTTATCTCCACGTATGCACCACAGAGGCACATCAAAGTTCTTTAATTAGGTCCGAAACATTTCTTAATGGAGAATCATTCAATCTAATTTTTTCATTGCATCATGTTTGATCGGGCGAAATAACATGTACGCCGTACGGTGTGCGTCGTAAATTCTAAGCTGCAAAGGTTTTAGTTCCACTATCACATCGTGGGGACTCAACATTTCTCAGGTTCTCAGAATCGAAAAATCATGTCACTCACGAAAGATGACTTGCTCTTATGGCTCACATGTATATTGGTCTCTAAAAAGCCACCATAAGTACCGGCCCAGTCCTAAACCACCCCCCACCCCCCGCCGGGTGCTTATGTTAGGTCAGTTTAAATTATGTTAAGTTCAATGAAGTTGGACTAGAGTCGCTACTCAGAGTTGCGCCATTTCGGGACCTGAATGTCACAATCAGTTATAGTATAGCGTTTTATCTTCAGTCAACTAATTCCCAGTTTTCCAAAATATCCCCTCTCATTCTGTTTGTTCACTATCATGCTCCTAGCTCCCTGGTTCTTTCTAGTCTAAAATCTTTGCAACCGGTAAAAGTGTATTCTTTTTGCTCGTTTGTGACATTCATGAGCAGGGCCAGATAAAGGGGGTGGCCACATGGGCAGCGGCCTATGGTAGCAAATTTAGGGGGCGGCCAATTTTGCAATTTTTTTAAATGTAGGTATGAAAAAAATCGGATTCAGAAAAAAAAATTATCAATGAGAAAAGGGGACAAAATCTCTCTTTCCTGAGAGTGCAGTAATTTCTAATTTTCTCGTTTTTCGGTGATACAAGAGACAGCATCTTTAATTAGTCGAGTCAAGTGAGGAACTAAACACGCAATTTGGCCTGGAGCTCAGCGCAGAGAGGAATGACGACGAGGACTTGGGATGAAAAGGACAAGCCCTCGGCGCGGCGGTCGGCATGTAACGCATATTAGCGCCTACAAGACTGCATGCATACTTCACCCATTGCGCCGAACACATCAGTGCGGTCAGGAGCGGTTGGGGTTGGCGTGAAATGCATAGCGCCTACAAGACTGCAGGAATACTTCACGCATTGCGCCAAACATAGTGCGATCAGCGCTGCGCAGCGGCGGAAGTTAAAATTATTCAACCACATTTATGTTTGTTCTTTCATAATTTTTTGGTTCATTTCTTATAAATGGAGGAACTTGTCCACACAGAGATAGGTTTACGGAATTTAACTTTCGCGCAAAGTTCCGTGAAATTTCGCTAGCAGTGTTGACAGGGTTTCCGCAAAAAATGTATCCAACACGAGTAGGTAAACGCGTCTCATGCACCCCTCCCCCTCCGGCACGTTCACTCGATAGTTTTTGTTTTGATGTCTCAAAACAAATGAGAAGGGGGCGGCAAAATACAGGCGGCCCATGGGCGGCAAGTAGGCATATCCGGCCCTTTTCATGAGGCGGAAAAACTGGAGCCACCGAAGGGACTCAACGTTGCAAAAGGGTGGGTTAGGTTCGATTAGGTGGCTGAGATTAGGTCAAGACTAGAAATGAAGCCCCACGTGTGATGGTATATGTGTGTGTGTGAGATCGAATGAGACAAGAGGGAAATCAAAAGGTCCGCAGCATGCGAACTCACATTTTTTCATCTTGAAGAACTTTTAACTTTTGAACTATGCCGTGCGCTGGATGAAAATTCAGGTGAAGAACTGAAGGCTCGGCCGGCTTCCTGCCACTGCGCACATCCACTCTGCCGTGCTAAGAAAAAGCGCCGTATGAGCCTCCAGGCATTGCCAAATGTCTCCCGGTAAATCACTAATTTTCAGGAAAATTTTTGAAAATTTGTCTGCCAATTTCTCAGATAATTTTGTTTGTAATTTGATCTAAAGTGTCTGAAAATTTCAAGGAAAAATATTCATAATCTTCCTCAAAAATAAACATTTCATCGAAGGAAATTTGGCAACTCTTGAATGTTCATACGGCGTTCTTCCTTAGCGCGGTAGCACTGGCGCTGTGCCGTCCTCTATGGCAATTCGTCGCTCCTCTGACGCAAGGGCTTATCCCTATTTCCACGTGGACCCTGTTCTCCGTATACCTTTATGCTTTTTGGGGCTCACGTGGATACACAGATACGCCCTTTCGTATGAGAGGAGCGACGGATGAGTCATCGATTGGGAACCCGAGTTTTTTTCGGGGCGGACGTCGCGTTTTAGCAAGCGACACGTTGCGGGGATAGCGGAGCCTCATCACTGAGCGGCATTCCGTATTCAGTCAATAATTCGTCGGGAACGTAAACATTCGGCGAAATGAAAAAACGAGACCTCGAATCCATTGATTGCTTAGATGCTGTGCTGCGACATGCCATGGAGCAGTGCGGCGGCCCGGCGCTGACTCATCGGCAAATATTGACTCTCGCAATTTTAATTGCAAGCATGACTCCCTCGCATTGGAGTCCCTTTATACTGAGAGTAAGGACAATGTGAATCCATTTCCGTTTGGTTCTCGTATTTTCGGCCTTCACAGTGTCACGAACGGGAATAAAGATTACAGTTTCACCAATTGCAAAGATTATGAACTAGGATGGACCGGGACATTGGGGGTACGGCAAGGAACAAATGGAATCAGAGAGGGAACGGAGATAGGAATTCGGGAGTGGGTTGATCAAAGATTACAAAAAACGTCCAATTTGTGTAATCTTTATTCCCGTTTGTGACATCCATAAGCCGCGTTGTCTTAACACCAGGCCCGCCATAAGGGGGGGGGAGGGGGGCACTGGGTCCCTGGTACCGGGGCCCGGGCCCCGGGAGAGGCCCGTATTACCCGTGAAAAACCACTACGAATTCACATGCAACCCTTGTTTCGTAGGAGAAAGTGAAAAATTTACCCTAAAAATTTCGCAAAAAGTGAATAGATTTTCAGAAACACGCTGGGGCACTGTGGAATTCTTCTTAAATTTTCAAAGAGGTATACTTCTTGGAAAATTTCTATCTATTTTCAAGATTTTCAGTACAGAGGGATATTTTTAGTAACTGCGTTTCATTTTCTTCCGTCGTCGGATGCTAAGAGTCTCCAGTCTGGGCATCCTCGACTTCAATGGCTCATGGCTCTACTCCCTTGCCATAGACAAACGAAGGGGGAGTTTAGGGGGGCCTGGCCCTCTTAGAACTGAAAATAGTATCATATGCCCCCCCACAAAAAAAAAAAAATAAAAATTTTCCAGATGTTTTGAATGCTACAATTCGCAAGTATTTTGTGCTGAAAGTAGAAAAAAAACATAATTATTCCACAGAAATTGATGGAAAAATTCTTTATGGAAGCTTCAAAATGCGTCCGATTAGTCGGTTAAATTCTAAAAGTTCTCGGGGGATGCCCCTCGGACCCCCCCCCCTCCGTGCTTGAGGCCCGGACCTTAAAACTGGTGCCAGGGCCCGAGATGGGATGTGGCGAGCCTACATGAAGGCTATTTCCATTTAAATCTTCCGTCACATTCATACGGCGCAATGATACAACTATTTGAACTCTCCGGAATGCGTGAGGTATCACGCCGCATTTGAAGGCGTTTTCTAAACAGCCAAGTTCCGTTATCGGAATAATCGTTTTGCAGAGTT